GGATTTGTGATTATGGATACACGAGTAACATTGGTGTCGCTATAGCAACTAGAGTCTCAATTCACATGCTAGCTTTTTAAAGCATTGGTTTGTGAATTCCAACAATACTTTGTGGACAAGTTTTCATGTTTCATGTTTGAAAGAAAATGAGACCTCTGCGGCGCAATCAGCATGTGGCGGCTCTTCTTGTTCTCTGTATCACAACAATTTTTGTTATTTCCATCTGTTTTGAATATGGTTCCGTTCAGATTTTCTTAATTGCAGCCCAAGACGTCCAAATCAATTATTTACAGGTTCCTTTAAATATAATGCAGGTTTTAAGACACCAGCTAGCTTGTGTTTGAATTCACTCAGTGTTTTCCAGTAGAGAATATTATTGGCAACCTGCAATGCATGACTGGGCGATAGGAATCGCCAAAAGCATTATCATCATCATCACCACCACATTCATTATCAGTCGTAATTATAAAGACTTTTAATGCGGAAAGGAGCTTTATTTTGTTTTCTTACTTATCCAAATCAGGGCCTCCGACGAAGGGGGGAGGGCCGGGGGCCTTGGCAAAACAATAGAGTTTTTTCAAAATATTTTGTTATGTGTTTTAAATTTTCCCTTGGCCCCCCACTTTTCAACCTTTGTCGGAGCCCATGCAAATACGTTTTTGGTACCGCAGAATTTGAAGATGCCACGAAATGGGGGAAACATTGCGTACCAACATTGCATTTCTCATTGTTATCATTGACAATAAGGCATTGACAGCATTTCACTTTATCTTAGACGTTGTGAAAAGGTCATCCATTGGATTAAAAAAGGCTCTCGGAATCCTTGGAGATTCTTTTCAAGTTATACTCACGCTGACATCAAATCGCAGCTTTGGACCAGATTGTCAACGAAACACACTCAAGCACTTATCCTCTCTCTGTCGATGGAACATAAGTGGCATTGACATGTGGATAGAAGCTACGAAATGCAGCCATGAAGTGTATAATGCTTTGAAGAGCATGGATAACGGAGGCTTTGAGCACTTCGACTTTCTGGGTCCTTTAAAGAGTGCTAAAAGGCTTGATATCCAGGAAACAGCCCTGCCAAGTGTGTATCCATAAAAGAAAAGATGCAAAAAAATATTTGCAATTTCCCACCTGTAGAGCTAAGTTACACTTTTGATTCACATTTCGATTGAAATGAATGTAAAAACATCGATATGAAGATTACACGCAAATTCCAACCATTTGTAATTTAAAGTTGACACCTTAAGCATCAGTTGATCTTGCAAAATCTTGATTGTTGCAAAACTAAAAGTCCTACACTCTAAGAGTTGCTACGATTGCCTCAATTTAAGATATAAAAAGCGATTCTGCAAATTGGATTTGAATAAATTCCTAAATTTTCCTTTCCTAGAGATTTCGTTATTGATCTCGAGAATTCCATTAGAACTTTACATGAATTTTCAGTCTTGAATAGAACTATAACAACTTTTCTTTGTCTATTCTTCGGTAGCAAGCAATTTTTGAACAAAAGCTTAACCATCCAAATTTGGACAGCTGTCCCTGTGTCGTGTCCCAATTTATTTTGACTGGATAAGTTCTTTTTTCCTCTTCATTTCACTTCCTAGCACGGTTCTTCCTTTCAAATTTCTTTCTTCTTAAGACTTTCTAATAATAATCCAAAATAGGTTCCTCAAGGAGTAACTAATAAGATGGCCAGTTGCGAGGCCTAGAAAACTCGAATGGCCTCTTTTTCAACAAATAAATGTGTGCAACAGTCGAAATTCTGTTTATCAAGACGTAATAGGGCTTCGCTTTCGCTCGTTTAAAGCCCATAACAATTACGAGAGATATGCGCCAGTTTTATGGCAGCACAAATATCACCTTATGAAATCGATATTAGCTCTGGCTGCCTACGAAATACTACCCATGCCTACCCATGGAATAGTACGCCCTATAATTCTGCTCCCCATGTCTCTTCTACCCTCTCCTTGTACATTAGCATATGTCATCCTTTTTATGATAAGTGCATGTAGATTTTAAATCGTAAATAGATGTAAATAAAAGAGTCGATTGCAAGTGACATGATGATGTTTTTCTTGTTGTCCTCTTCATGTAAGCTGTGTCTTGGCTGTACAGTAAGTAGCTTAATGTTAATCAAACCCCTTTTTGGTCTATTAATAAACCATTTAAAGACACAATTTTTCATTGACGGCATAATTTTTGCATTGAAAGACAGCAAGCGAAAATGCTAGATGACAATGCAGCCTAACTGAAAAGCCTATGACAAGATAGGCTTTCAATTGCCCTAAATGACTCATTTGGTGTTAATGCTGTTACAGTTGAGACATTCGACAATTACCCGCAAATGAAATCGGTTAATTTTTGTGTATGGCTCTTCAGAGCAATCAAGTGAACTTGCATCATTTGTCTGGGACACTTGTAAATCTCTCACTAGTGTGCCATGGCCCTAATTTACTGAAAGGCTCTGAAATAGATTCAAAATCAAATTTCAACAAATGTAGAAAGACGTTTATTTGTTTTCAAGAGTATTATTAAAAGTAGAAAGATTCACGACATCAGAAATGCTTCATTATCGAGAATAGATCCACAGTTTAGATCAATATTTTGCCACGCTGCAGCAAAGCTTTCGCCAATGTGTCACAGGATCTATTGATGCCGAAACAGCCCGTGTACTGTTGTAATGAGATATCACTGTTTCATATCCATTATTAATGAAAAGCCGGAAAGAATGATATAATTAGTACTACAATAAATCAATTTCAAATATTCTTCGTAGTGTTCCACAAGAATCAGTGCTGGGCCCAATTTTTCATAGATAACTTAAGATAGGTTACCTTTTTTGACAATCACGATAAAGTAACTCATTTTCGAAAGCAAGTCAAATTTTCTGAATGACAAAAGTAAAAATGTTTTAGACTGACGATAATAAAAAATACATTGATTTGATGTTGGTATAAAAAATATTAATGAAGAAGGTCTTCACTTCGAATCCTTGGCCCCAAGTTTGGTACTACAAGCAAAACAAGTTCGGTCTCTCGAAAAGATCTTTTAGTTTCTTTTCTTAATTTCTTAGTCTCGAAAAAATGTAGTTTCTTAGACGCTTTTTCAAATGTGAAGCTTTAATAGCTTTGCAATCAAAGCTCCCAAGCCAATTAAGTAGAATCATAACAATTTACATATGATTAAAAAAGTTAATATGAGATATCTTGCCTGAAGCAATATTTCTACTTAGTCTTGATGAAAATGACATGTTTCTCACTTTCGAAAGTTCTTGTTTTTCACACAATCGCTCAAATTCTTGTTTTTCACACAATCGCGCAATCACTTCAATCAAATCCAGTTTGTATTTTTTTGTCTAATACTCGTTTTTGACGAACAAACCACAATGACAATACTCGGACTACTAATTATCATTTCAAACTTTACATATGACAGTTTAATGTCGTAATCATTAAAGCATTCATAAATTTTTGGTATAACTTGATGACCTGTTACACTGACGTCTTTGAAGCAATCATTTAATTTTGTAATGCATCCAACATCGCAGCAAGCGTGATCGAGGCCAGTATTTTATTTGTGTGCAATATTGCCGTATATGTTAATATTGCCGTTCCCATATAAATATAGCAAAAATACTGCATCGGACACCGCGGAGCGTTAAGAAAATTTTGAGAAGCTAAATATGGGATTTATGAAGGGTCCGTTTCTTAATTCTTTATGTTTGCGGCAAAAAAATGGTAAAGCTAAAAATGCTGTGGTTTCTCATGTATACTCATTGAGTCTATAGCTAAACTGAAAGAGGATAGATAAATTGCCCTTATTAGACTTCAGAGAGTAACATCTTTGTTTGATGGTGTTCCATGGGGCTTTTCAATGCAAAAATGGACCGTGGCTCGAAAAGGCTTAAAACACAATATTGGCAGTCAAATCAAAGCTGAAAATAATTTATGAGGGAATAAAGTGTGATTTGAGACCAATGTAATCGGGCTAGAATGCAAAATTGAGGAATTCTGGTATAGATTGCTTTGAAACAAGGTTTATGTAGCGATCCAATTTTTCCTCGGGCAAGTGAAGCCTGAAGCACATCCCCGCGGAACTTTTCAGACCACGCCTATTTGGATATATAAATCCTTTTTTCGCCATTTTTGAACAGTTCAGTGTCATGGCCATCTAAACAGAAATGCATTTTACAAATTTAATTTAACTTCCCATTTGTAAGGAGGGAACAACCTATCACTAACAAATTAATGCTTCTCCATTTAGAGGACATTTTTTGAAAGAAACGAGAGCAACTGTCCCTCGTACCCACTCTAGACGCGTCCACTTAGATAAATGTCAATTGAAAAAATATTTGCATGTGAACATTTCATTTTTAAATAACCGAAACGTCTGATATAACTGACATCTTTAGTGAATTTTCGTTCTTAACCTGTTTTGATTTCTATGTAATATTTTTGAACAGAATTTCGTTATACTTCTGTAAACATTGAGATAATCAAGCTTTTTTCGAAAACCACGCATAAATTTACCAGCATATGGTTTACGGGGATTTGAAATAGTGTGAATAAAGAAAACGTCACGATAGCAGTCTGCTCGACGACTCCAAGGAGTTCTTGAGGCGAAAAATTGATCAAAATGTAGCAAATAAGAAACACCGCAATGCGACGAGAATGAACAACAATAAACACACGTAAATTAGTGAAGGCTGATATTTCGCCCCGGCATACGGGGCTTCATCAGAGCAAAAGCAAACGGACTGAAAATGTACATGTTCATTCTCCAATTTGTTTGTTGTAATAGATTTGTCTTTCTTTTGGTTTAGATTATTAAGAGACGTGTTTTACATGATTTAAAGGCGATAAGGGGGTTTTAAAGCCTACCTGCAGCCTATTAGCACTGCTAGGTCCTTGATAATAAAAAGCAGTTATCATACAAATGTCAAACAATTATTCTTCTTCCTCGTCCTAAAATTGCAGCAAATGAGGGAGGAACTTACATGAAGTACTTGAAGACAACAACATTCTTGACCGGTTACTCCCAAAATGGCGACGGACTCCTTAGGGGTGCTCCCGTTTGTTCGGGGTATAGACCTTTCCAGAAATGACTTTACTGTAAGTATTCATCACATATAATCTAAATTTTTTTCTTTACCTATTGTGGTATATGGCTGCTGGTAGAAGGTTGTTTTCAATAAGGTAGAAGGTTATCAATACTGAAAATGCATGAAGCAGTTATATATTTTTAGGCCTTTTTTAGGCCTTCTGCCTTTTTGACTATTGACGTTTGTCATCTTCCTTTCTTTTTTCAAACGGAATGGTTAAGAAATATAAAGTTTTATATAGTTTGGAAAATAAAACAAAAGAGGTCAGCCAGGTTGTAAAAAAATCAGCCAGATCTAATTGCATGACGAGTGCGAGTAACGACGATGTTTTCCTGACGATATTTTCTTGAGAGACATAGGCAAGGAAATATCGTTTAGTCAGTGAACAAAGATACTGATACTCCCGGGCAATCACTGCATGATTGTATATTTAATCCATCCCAACTATAACTGATTTGATCTATAAAGAGTACTTCCTGATGGGGCACCCTATTGTATTCCTCCTTATTCAGTACACTCATGATGTAAAGAAAATATACTACAGGTTGACAATTAATGGGGGGTTCTAGCCCCCGCAGCCATGTGGGTTCTGACAGCCCTGATATAGCAGACTTTGGAGGCTAAAAAGTTTCCTTGTGACTTTCTTAGTGAGCTATGTTGTTTTTGTATGGTTTACAGTACATTTTTGAAATTATTGGAGGATGAACCCTTTTAGCCCCCCCCCCCCCAGCCCAGCCCCCTGCCTCTGGTTCTCTAGCTTTAACAAGTGATTTTTCTAGATTAGATATTTTCCACCATCTCCCATTAATGATATTAAATATCTTAATTTATAATGTCTGTATATTTTGATGTGTTTAGGAGACATTCCCCGTAAAGGTTGGTGATATGGGGAATCTACGCTGGCTGAGGCTTGACAATTCAAACTTGGATCAGTTACCAAATACATTAGGTAGCCTTTCAAAGCTGGTAAGCATATTTATTATTGCATGTACTTTAATTTATTGCTGTTATTATTGGACTTTTAACTCAAAAGCAGTGTCCAATTGCCAGATAAATTTATGAATCCCAATTAAAATGTGAAAATGCACATACTGTTCTTGCTTATATTCCAAAAGAGGTATAGAAAAAAACCTGGAAACCCAAAACATAATCCCATTATTGTAGAGAGACCTATTTATAGAATTCACAGAATTATAAACAAATTAGAGTAAATTATAATGCAATTTATGATTAAGGATCATCAATTTATGATCTAGGTTGACTATAAAAAGCATCTAGTGGCCTCACAAAATTGGTTTTATTTTGGATGGTCATGTTGTTTACAACGTAGTCACAATTACTCATTTGTATAACTCATGTAAAACTTTTGCTAACTGAGTATATGTTGCCGCATGAGGTGATTAGGGCTTTTTTTATTCTGTCAATAAAGACATGTCAACAGATGTTTTCTGAAGTATTTGTACTACACCACATAGTCAAAAAGGGGCTCAAGCATGACACATTTAAGACACAAACTCTGCCGATGATGTCAAGAGCATATACAGCAAAATCTTTAGATATAAGGAAATCTCTAGTGGGCAAATTTGATTTGGTCCTAATTAAAAAAATTGCAAATCCTTTTCCTTTCATAGTACTAAATAACTTTCAAAATGTTGCTTCTTATGTTACTATTGAAGTTACATTAAATAGTGTTAAACCTCTTTCATTTTTTAGGAACATCTGTCACTGGTAAAGAACAAACTTACATCCCTTCATGGAGACATCCCTTCATTGTCCAACCTTAAGGTTGGTAGATCTTTTTTAAAGAAATGTATCCAACACTAATACCCTTAAAAAAATTAACAATCTTGTTGTCTCATTCCTTGCACAAAATAAATTTGAAAGTCATTATGGTGAAATGCTATTTTTTATAGACATTCTAAATTGGTTTTATTACATGCACAGCCATTTTTTGCTGCAGTAGATTTAGTTCTAAGAGAATCTTCTCTTCTCTTTTTCGTATAAGCATGTCACTTTTTCTTTCAGGTCATAAATGCAAGACACAATAGCTTAAAAAATCATGGTGTCCCATCTGAGATGTTCAAGCTAGATGACTTGTTGACAGTGGTAATTATACTATCTTGCAAAAGTTCTTGTAATTTTTTAACCTGAAAGTTGAAGTCAAGCTATAGCCTTTCTGTATTTTTCCTTGTGGCCATTTTCTTCACTAAGCAAGCAGGCAGAAGACTCAATAACTGTGAATTTTGAGAAAGATAATTAAATACCCTTATTTTTCTAGGATTTGAGTCACAACCACCTGGATGAAGTAAGTTTTTGCTTTACTTCTGTTTGTGTCCTATGTTAATTTTAAAGCTTCAGAATACACTATTCGGTTCTAAAACCTATATCTTATGTCAGATATTTTATCTCTGTTGTACTGATGTTCTTATTACCATAAATTCAATAGATATCAATGATGTTATCATTCTGTTTTGTTTATCATTATCATGTATTCTTTGAAATGTGTGATAAGAAATTTGTTCTTTGCAGGTGCCTGCTGAAGCTGAGAATGCAACTAGTCTCCTTGTTTTGAATTTGAGTCATAATAGCATCACATCAATTCCAAACCAGGTTTTTTGTGTTCTTTGCTAATCTTCTCAATTCAAACCTAAGTTTCTTGCTAATCATAGCTTGCATTCTTCTGTTACTGGGATTTAACTACTTTATCAAGTTGTTGTTTTTCTTTCTAACTTTTTGCTTCATTATCTTTTAATCTGTTTCTGAAATAGTTTTATTTAAGCATCTGAAATATCACAGTAGAAGGGCCATGCTTAAGTTATGCTTGAGAAGGCCAAGGTATCAGAGCTGCTTTACTCCATTGCATCAGCAGAGGATTTTAAAAAAGGAGATGAGAAGCACCACAATGCACCCAAAGAAACACAAACAAAACAACAAAACATTATGCAACCATTAATGCAAAAATACGCAAAATAGATGCATTAGTTTATCTAATAATCCAGCAGTTTATTACAAATTTTCTTTCTAAGTTTTGCTACACTGTGGTGCTGCCACTCCAGAAAATATAGGAAACTTTATTTGGTATATTTCTGGAATCACAATTATTTTCCAAGTTTTTAAAAAAGTGTTAGGTAGTTTTTAGGTAACTGCCAAGATTAAAGGACAAGTGACACGCTTTTGGCGCCAAATGTTTTTTTTCTTTTAACTTAAAGTAAAATGCTGTATGAGAGTGTTGTTGAAATATTTTTCCTTTCTGATTTCATTTTCCCACTTAAAAACCCATTTGAAATTATGGCGGGAAATGAATCACGTGACACCGTGACGTAGATTGTGATAATTTGTTATTGCTGCTACTGGTATAGAGTGCAATATTAACGTTTACAACACGCTTGTAAACGAATACAGTTTGTCTGGACCTGTCGCGTCGTGTTTCGTAAACTCTCTATCAATTACAGGAAAATTCTGAGTTATCACAATGTACGTCATAGGGTCACGTGATAAAAAGCAAAATCGCGCCCCCTGCGCCCCCTGATTAGAATTTTTTGTTCCAAACCAGGAAAAACTTACTTTTAAAAGATGATCTATAAGTTAATGAAAAGAAAAGATAGGGTGAAAAGTGTGTCACTTGTCCTATAAAAAGAACATAAAAATTATTATTTACGCAAGAGAAACATTATCATTGATTTCCAAGATTAGTTAAACTGTAGTCTACAATACTGATTTGAATTCCTTCAAGGCAAATCCAAGTTAATCTATTTCAAAGTGTCTACAAACCAATGAAATTATGCAATGTAGGAACACTGTTAAAGTACTTGACCCATTTTCTTTCAGCTTTTTGTTAATCTCACAGATCTGATTTATCTTGATCTGAGTGACAATGAGCTTGGTATGTTATGTTCTAGATATATGATTTTAGTGAAATCATTATGATATTATTGTAAAAGTATGTATATAATTTTTTATCAGTATCTCCATTAAGATTCGTGTGGGTAGCAGAAAGTTCAAAATTCAGATTTCAAGTGTGTAGTAAAAGCTTTTTATTGTTACAATTTTGAATGATAATGTTATTTTATTATTTGTAAGTTTCCCTGAAATTTGAAAGGAGTTGATATAATATCTTTGCTATCTCTCTAGATCTTCATATTTTTTTCATTGTAGAAACTATTCCACCACAATTGAGAAGACTAACAAATCTACAAACCCTGGTAAGCCCATTCAAATGCAACTGAATAAGAGTAATTGATAAAGCAGTGAATTTGACGATGATTGATGATGGCAGAGTAAATTAATAGAAGCTCATGGTTATTTGACCAGAATATCCATCATATATCTATAAAAAACTGAAGCTGAGGTTTTTTGGATAGATAAAGGATGCCATCCTGGCTATTGCTATGGGCAGGTTATAAAGTATGTTTTGAAGTTAGGGTAAAACACTTTTAGTAGACAAAATGACGTTTTCACTTTACCCATCCTTGCCAATGTGCCTCTTACCTTGGGTAACCAGTGTAATTATCCTTTACCAGGTACGGTTTTAGTTAAAGTTTTTTCTTTACTTTGGTTAGAAAGCTATAAACAAAATTTTGTTGCAGTATTCATTTTGTTAATGATTTTTTGTTAAACATTTACCATTGAAAAACGCTCATCTTTTAAACGCTTCAATGGTTCAGCTATTCCACAAAAGTATGAAAGATTCAAGGAACTCTCAGTACTTTTTTTCGAATTATTGCGATGTCTTTTGTTTTTATTCCAGATTCTGAACAACAACCCACTATTACACGCCCAATTAAGGTAAACTTGATATTGGTTTCAAGTTCTATGTATAATTTTATTTTTGTCATTAATCACCAACGAATCACTGTTCATGTTTGTACTTGTAGACTTTCAAATATAATTAATTGTAGACATTGAATGTTTATATCCGTCGAATGAAAGGGAGAAGTGCAGGGACCACGGAAGAGGGGTGGCTACGGGGGCTTTAGCACCCCTAATAAATTCCAAAATGTAATTAAAACC